GAGAGAGAGAGAGAGAGAGAGAGAGAGAGAGAGAGAGAGAGAGAGAGAAAGAGAGAGAGAGAAAGGGGGGGCTTAAAAAAACTCCAAAACCTGTATGGATGCAAACTAAGCTGTTCCTGTAGTCTGAAAATGGAATACATTTGATAAAGACCATTGATCCCACATTGATCCCATTTAGATGAATCAATATACATAAAGGTTTTCCCTGAAATTCGTAGAAAATCCAATGTGATCTAGACAAATTACTTGGCAGGCTAACCCAGAGTGAATGAGAAGGATAACGAGTGGCAAACACAACTCTTCAGATAATGCTGGCATGGGGTTTAGGAATAGAGAACAGTGGCCACAACCCCTTTGGTAGACCTTTATCTCCAAAAATCTACACAGTTCCTAACAGCAGCAAAATCACAGTTATGAAGTAGCAACAAAAATTATTTTTTGGTTGGGGGTCACCACAATGTGAGGAACTGTATTAAAGGGTCACAGCGTTAGGAAGTCCAAGAACCACTGGCTTAGGGCCTGGGTCAGAGCAACTGGAGGCTGCAGGTGGATCTCCTGACCTTGGGTGAGATAAGCTCCCAATGCTTATTTTTCTCAGTGTGTGCCGAGGGGTGGTTGTGTTTCTCCTGAAGGCAGCTGTGGGTTTGATTCTGCCTGTCTCTGCTATAACCTGGAGAAGAGCGCTTAGCACACAAAAGCTATTAGCAATTTATATTATTAATTTTTTTTTCTATTGAAGTGTATGCCTGAGAAGTGTCATGGCTCAGCCTCAAATGTATTCTCAGCAAAGGAAAGCCATCGTCAGCAAAGAGTGATTTCAAAGTCGGTTTTATGAACCACAGGTACCTAAATAGTTCAAGGATCATTGTTACACCTCTCCCTGTGGCACAATCAAAACATTCACCCAGCTCTCCCTAAGCTCGGGTGACATGTGCTGGCTCCCAGTGTGAACATTTCACAGATTTGACATGGAATTTGAGTTCCTTACACTTGAATTTCACTGTTCACATGGGCTACTGTTAACACAATGCCATGCATGCATGAGGGTCTTGATCAAGGTCAGGTTCCCTCATCCCAGCTGCATGTGGAGAAAAGAACATCAATCATGTAATAAGTAAGCGGTACATTGGTGATAAAGGATTTGGGGAAAGGAATATGAACTTAAAGCATGATTTTTCCTCCTTTTACAGAAAACCATAAATTTTATTCTTAAGATTCACCCAGTGGTGCATGTCACACTATTAACAGCAGCCAATTCCATAATTAGCAATTAAGGCTTTTATTTTAACATCTTGTTTCTAGCCTTGGTTGGAGTTTCCTC